ACGATATAGCCATAATCTTATATTAACACAACCGACACTGCTCACTGACCAAACTAGATTGAGGGTAAGGACAGTACCTCATACACTAAAAGCACAGACCCGGGGAAGAATATCTTGGGAAGCACACAACTGAAACATTTTAACCTGATCCTGGGTAGAGTACCAAGAACAGATGGTACACACAATACCACATGTATTTACGTAGATACCTGGAAAACGTAGGTAACCACAGCCCTAAACCTTGGAAGTTTCAGGAGCTGTCTAGAATAATAAACAAGCCAAGGGAAGAACGCATTAGACAGCTCCTTGCACTGTGGCAACTACGTACTAGGAATAACAAAACCTAATCTAGAAAGCACCAGACAGTCCAAATACTAGAGCACAGGCCTAGTTAACGTACACTCTAGGCAGGACACAGCCTGGGAAAGTACTTTGTTGACAGTATCATGTTATCGATGGTGTTTACAAAAAATAAAATATTTTGGTCAATTTAATCAGTATATAGTAAAAAGTGGCTAAGCTTAGTTTGGTATTAAGAGAGTTGTGTAAATACATCTGTTATTGTGCCTTGTGAACTGTGCAGTAAGCTGAGGGATTGTGAGAAACTGGTGGTACTTTGTGAGGGTGTTCGTGGTGGTGATTGCGGATAGTCAGTGTGTGGGTGGTGGTGATTGCGGGTAGTCAGTGTGTGGGTGGTGGTGATTGCGTGTAGTCAGTGTGTGGGTGGTGATTGCAGGATGGTGTGTGGGAGGTGATTCCGGATAGTGTGTGGGTGGTGGTGATTGCGGGTAGTCAGTGTATGGTGGTGGTGATTGCGGTAGTCAGTGTGTGGGTGGTGATTGCGGGTAGTCAGTGTGTGGGTGGTGTGATTGCGGGTAGTCAGTGTGTGGGTGGTGGTGATTGCGGGTAGTCAGTGTGGGGTGGTGGTGATTGCGTGTAGTCAGTGTGTGGGTGGTGATTGCAGGATGGTGTGTGGGAGGTGATTCCGGATAGTCAGTGTGTGGGTGGTGGTGATTGCAGATAGTCAGTGTGTGGGTAGTGGTGATTGCGGGTAGTCAGTGTGTGGGTGGTGGTGATTGCGTGTAGTCAGTGTGTGGGTGGTGATTGCAGGATGGTGTGTGGGTGGTGATTGCGGGTGGTGGGGAGTGCGGGTAGTCAGTGTGTGGGTGGTGGCAGTGGGTGTGATAATGGTGAGGTATGACTTGTGGTGCTGTTGGACAGAATGGTGGAAGCAGTGAAAGTGTTTGCTGTCAGTAGCCGTAATGGTGGTTTTTAGTTGTATTAAAGGTGAGTATAATTGAAAGTAGTTGTACAATTGGTAGCGGTTGTGGTAATAATATTGTAATGTAACACAAGCCAGCATAGTACAAAATTAACTTTACGCTGCCATTACAAAATAAAAATTAGGCGAATTTACATCCTTGCAGCATCTGCTTGGCATTTGAAGACCCAATGTCGACCTTTAGTGCTTGTTGTAGTCTCGTCCAGTCCAGGTATTTCCTGTTTCTTCTTGACTACCTTGAGAATTCGTCCGCCTCTCGACTCAGCTGGGGAAGTAAAGGTCATCATCCCACCTCGACCTTTCCTGTCCAGACACTCTGACTGGGTCTTTGATTTACTCTGTTTATAGATTATTACTTTTATGTTTCACTGTTACTGCTTTAATTATTTGTTTTTTATGCTAATTTCAGTTCCCAATAGCTTGTTACAATTTTAGCTTTAATTTCAATGCTTAATTAGCCTTAAAAATCTGTTTATCGTAGTCGTGAAGAGTCATGACTACGGTGCTCTTCACACTAACACCAAGACTGAGGGACTGATTACCTCATCTTTTGTATATAGTTCTACTGTCTTCAAATTATATCCTAGAATTTGTATTGATAAAGCCACTGGATGGCGAAACATCTACAATAAAGATAAGCAGATGTTGCACACGTCTTAATTTCCAACATGCACTATTGCTCATAGTAAACACACACATCATGAGATATACTTGTCAGTACATAAGCAAAGTATGAAAGAACTTCTTCCTGCTCGTATATTAATAATAAGCCCTGACTGATAGTGTTGGAGAACTGTAGGAAGTGGGGCACTGTAGGAGTGACACAAGGCATTGTAGGAGGGAGTTGGAATGTTGTACGAGAGGCGATGCTCGGTTTAGACGGCGGCCATGACGACGGCTAAGAGGAATACCTGTTAAACAGGATACTGAAAATATATGTATATCACAATTAAGCACATTTTTTTAAGGAGCACTGCTTTCTCTGAAAGCCAGTAAATGACTTAATAAATTAGTTTACCTTGAAGGCCATGTTCGGTTGTAAGAGAGACAGAGAGAGAGAGAGACGTATGCAGTGATATTCAAGTGGGTTTATATAGCAAAGGACCTTTTTACGCCAGAGGAAGGCCTAGGTCAGATGACCAAAAACTTCAGTGGTGGGTCATCAGATGACTGAGACTCGCGTCAGAAAACACTCCTGTTTCTGATGAATCTTACCTAACCTCAATACTTGTTATCAAAACTAACACAAGAGGGAAAGCACGAGAAACCTTGACACTGGCAGCAGTTACCGCTGGACCTTGACCATTTTCGTATCTTTCCCAGGAGGTACAACAGTACTAAGGGCATGAAAAAGCATAAACACATCCATCACGTCATGTTCTAATTAACAAGTGAGTTTTCCTAACAAAATAATACGTGCAACAATTCACCGGTATACTAACAATCAGGTACACATCAATCCTCTAAATAAGAATTTAATAAAGCACTCAGTATATACACATTAGGGTGGTCCAAAAAAATATTGAATTTTAATCGTGACACGTGTCATCCTAATACCTCCATACATTTCTTCTGGTGAAATTTCTGTTCCCTTCCTTAATATTTAAGGGTCCCGAAAAAAATACAAATTTCCACCCCCATCCCCATAGAAGATAATGAAAAGTGAAACGCATTTATGTTGCATTTTTTCAAGTCAACAACTGAGCTAATACTCTCGAATGGTATTGCTCGGGGTCTCATCCTTTGTGATGGATGAGTAATATCCCTAGCAGCACTGTCCTTCACAAACATTTAACGATGTGACGGAGGCGTGAAACATTGGTTGGTTTCAACTTGATGCACATTTGGGAAAATTAGGTGAAAGAATTTTCCAGGTCTTCGTAGCCACGAAGTCGTGAAGTGGTTTTTGAGAAAAGAATCTTTTGCAATCAAGTCACTTCACTCTCTGCTGTCTCTTCTTGACATTCTATCAGTAAAGCTTTCTCTTCTCACCCCGCAAGGGAGATGCCTGGATACCGGTGAAAGGGTTAGGGGGGGGCTATCCATGAATATCACCTGTTTTCGCTTTACTTAGGTCGAACCTGATTGCCTCTCATTCCCCGAAGATGTATGATCCTTATGGGTTTCGTGCTTCCAACCTAAACCTAATAATAGGATTCGTCTCCAGTCCAGTTATTGAAACACAGATGACCAACCAGTTCCTCGGACACATACCATCGGTGGCGTTAAGGCAGTGCTCGCCAGCTGACGATTCTGAATATGAAGTCTAGGACACAATTTCTAGGAATATATATATATAGTATATTATATATATATATATATATATATATATATTATATATATATTATATATATATATATATAATTATATTATAATATATATATAATATATATATATATATATATATATTATATATATATATATATAATGTAACACACTGGCCGATTCCCACCAAGGCAGGGTGGCCCGAAAAAGAAAAACTGTCACCATCATTCACTCCATCACTGTCTTGCCAGAAGGGTGCTTTACACTACAGGACTCAAGTCCGGTCTGCCGGTTTCCCTGAATCCCTTCATAAATGTTACTTTGCTCACACTCCAACAGCACGTCAAGTATTAAAAACCATTTGTCTCCATTCACTCCTATCAAACACGCTCACGCATGCCCGCTGGAAGTCCAAGCCCCTCGCACACAAAACCTCCTTTACCCCCTCCCTCCAACCTTTCCTAGGCCGACCCCTACCCCGCCTTCCTTCCACTACAGACTGATACACTCTTGAAGTCATTCTGTTTCGCTCCATTTTCCCCAACATGTCCGAACCATATATATATATATATATATATAATATATATATATATATATATATAAATATATATATATATATATATATATATATATATATATAATATATATATATATATATATAATTTTTTTTTTTTCAACAAGTCGGCCGTCTCCCACCGAGGCAGGTGACCCAAAAAAGAAAGAAAACAATTTTCTTCTTATTCTTTTTAGTAATCTTTACAGGAAAGGGGTTACTAGCCCAGTGTTTCCCGCATTTTAGTTGACTTTTACAACACGCATGGCTTACGGAGGAAAGATTCCTTATTCCACTTCCCCATGGATATAAAAGGAAAAGTAATAAGACCAAGAACTATTAAGATAAAATCAAAGAAAACTCAGATGAGTGTGTATAAATAAATGTGTACATGTATGTGTAGTGTGACCTAAGTGTAAGTAGAAGTATATATATATATATATATATATATATATATATATATATATATATATACATATATATATATATATAACATATATATATATATATATACATATATATATATATTATACATATATATATATATATATAACATATATATATATATATATACATATATAATTATATATATATATATATATATATATTATATATATATATATATATATATTATATATTATATATATATATATATATATATATATATATATATATATATATATATATATATATAATTATATGTATGTATATAATAAACACACACTTGTATGGTAAATATTTTATTCATAGAAATTTTACTAATTTTTCATACATTGATATTTTACACTTCGCTATTTTTTATAAGGTAGACTTTGATTATAATACACATACTGTATATTTTTACTAAATTTTATTTTCCCATTGAAAAAAAGACAAATTTAAATTCTTTATAGGCACAAAAGTTAATTTCACTCGATGACTAAATTAACCATAGACAGGGGCGGGCTGGTAGCTGGGGGTGGGCTTATAGCTAGGCTGGTAGGCTGGGTATTGGGCCTCACCCTGGTATTCAACTTGAGCAATGTAGCCGGAGTCACCGTTCACAGTGTAGGAAACTCTCTGCAGTCGACCGTCGGGAAGCTGGACGTAATAGGATCCCTGAGTATCGTATCCATTACGAGCTTCGTCTTGACCGAAATCGTTACCCGAGTTGGCGTCCTTCACCAGCCAGTTGAATTTGTACTGAGGAACACCCTGGGTGGTAAAAAAATAAAAAACAGACATGTTTAACTATTATTTAGCTTTTCTTTATATTTTTCGACGTATTATTTTATCTGAGTTGGGAAGTAAACGTTCACAACGATAACTGCTAAATTTGATATACACTTAAATCTCATAGAATAAATCTATAATTGGAGAGAAAAAATTATAAACTTATTATACATTTGGTTAACGAAGTGACAAGCTTTTACTTGTTGACAAGAAGTGCAAATTTTTCTTTGCTTTGGGCCTGTGTGTTTGCTTCTGTGAATCAGTAAGCAACAGATTGGCGGCAGATTTTTCTGCAATGAATTCTTCTGAAAAGGATCACTATAATTAAATTTGGGGAAAGATCAATTAAGGAGAAGGTTGGTCAGTCATTTCGGAGACCAGTCAGCCGCTCAGTCAGTGATTAAAGAAGTTGTGATAAAGGCTAAACCAAGGAAGACAAAGACCTGTTTATCCGTATTTATGATATCAGTTCATATCTGATGAACGATCAGTGGACACTGTACACAGCGTACAGAAAAAAAAATGGTTAACTTAGCTTAATATTAAAACACTGTCTTGTTACATTCCTGTTGTTCCTTGTAAATTAAGAATTGAATAATCTGTGACCATTCCTGTTTAATGCTTATTAAGATAAGAGATAAGATTTCGTTCGGATTTTTAACCCCGGAGGGTTAGCCACCCACTGGGATAACCCAAGAAAGTCAGTGCGTCATCGAGGACTCTAATTTATTTCCATTTGGTCCTCAATCTTGTACCCCAGGATGCGACCCACACCAGTCGACTTACACCCAGGTACCTATTTGCTGCTAGGTGAACAGGACAACAGGTGTAAGGAAACGCGTCGAAATTATTCCACCCGCCGGGAATCGAACCCGGGCTCTCCGTGTGTGAAGCGGGAGCTTTAGCCACCAGGCCACCAACAAAAAATTTGCTACTGCAGTAAAAGTATACATATTTTAGCCCTATTTGAGGAGGCTAATTTTGAGACTATAAAAATAATTCAACGCAGTCCTTTAGTTACCAAAAAAATTACAAATATTTTTCATACATTTTGAATATTGTTAAGGAGGTGAAGACTAGTGAACAGCATCATGTACGTAACCCAAAGATGCTGTTATAAATTTTCTTTTGAAAACCAATGCATGTAAGAGTGTCCCTTACATTGCTGAAAAGCTGGTGACAGCTGGACGGTATGTGCATTCATCCAACTGTGCAATGTACTGCATTTTGTAACTGTGAATGAAACATTCCGTATATAAAAATTTTTGATGTGATGTGTCAATTCAGACTTAATATTTTACATCAGAATACTTGGATTAATAAAGTTGACATTCATTTACTTCAAAAATAGATTAAACTTTGCTCAGTGTTGTTATTGAAATATTCTTAGAAAACTTATTCCCACGCTATAAATTTTACCAGTAACTTCTCATTCAATAACTAAAGAAGTTCTTGGTTTTAATAGTGTGTTTACTGGTGCTTAATATTCCTCATATGTAGGAGAAAGAATGTAACGGTAGATTTACACTGAAATAATTACTAATTCTCTACAGAACGGACACTTTAGAAGGATGGGTCTCCATGAACTGCATCCTCTTAGATTGTTAGGACTTACTGAAGGTGCTGGAGCTCTGTAGGAGGGACGCGGGGCACTGTAGGAGGGAGGTGGAGGGTTGTAGGAGGGGCGTAGCTCGGCTAATGTGGCGACCACAAGGGCGGCCAGGAGGATTACCTGTAAAACACGGTATTGCAAAATGTCTTAGTGAAATAAAAATGTATTTTCTTTGAGACAACGATATAGTATTTAAAACTCGTTAAGTGACTGAATCGGATAGTTATAGCTCACTTTGGAAGCCATGTTCAGCTGTGAGGGAAGAGCGAGAATGATGTGCAGTGATACACACACGGGGTTTATATATCAGAGGCTCCTCAGATCTTGTCATGAAGACTGACACAAGAGGGAAAGCATGAGAGAGACCTTGACACTGGCAGCAGTTACCACTGGACCTTCACCGCCTCCACACCTTCCCCAGGAGGTACAACAATAGTCACGACGTGACAAGCCCAATCACTCACCAATAACCATAAGCATTTCGCTCTGTTAAAACTTGTGATTCTTCCGAAGACCCTTGACATGCGAAGATATTTTGAGGTATCTGTAGTGTGTTCTCTTGTTAGTGTTTTAGACTTAAATTTATTGGCTACGTGAGGGGTCATTTGGCAGCACCTAACCTGTACACTAACAATCAGAAATATATGCATGCCTAAATTATAGATTTCAGTATATTCTAAATGTATATACATAGATATAAACACATTATGTCTGTGTGTGTTTATGTATATACATTGAGGTTTTACGAGCCTGGTCTCAGACCGAGCCGCGGGGGCGTTAACCACCGAACCCCTCTCCAGATATACTCCAAGTATAATACACCCACACTTAATTTCAGCTAATGTACAATGAGAGAGATACGCCTTTTGATAAACATGTACAGGAAATTATACTTATGGGTATATACACTGGGTGAAACATATATATATATATATATATTATATATATATATATATATATATATATATATATATATATATATATATAATATATATATATATAATATATATATATATATAAAATATATATATATATATATATAATATATGATATTAATATGTAATATTTTTTTTTTATTTGCCGGTACTCTCCCGGCCCGGGTCTTTTCCAAGAGTGGTGACCCGGCCTTGGCTCGCTATCTGGGGAGTGTCTCGAGACCTAACTCTCCCATGGGAGGAGGTAAAAGTACCCCCTCATCTTTGGGACCAAGTGTCCCCAGACCTAGCCACAGTCCCCGCCCTCATGGGGCTCGTAGGGAGAAGCTAGGCCTCTGGTCTGCCATCTGCCCCGCCCCAAAGGGGGCTCGTGGGGATGGCAGTCTTGTGAGCTGCAGGTGGTAGCAAGCTCTGGCGATCTCGGTTATATATGTAATATTAACAGATACATATTTTTAAGCTTTCTAGTAAATGTTTTTCATTACATGTTTAAAATTTAATGAAAGGTATATAATTATGTGATGAAAGAGATTATTATTGTTATTAGATCTACTTTTAAATACGTATATGATTTCTTAAAAAGATTTAAAACGACATCGTAAATATATATTTTTGGATTACAATGAGCGTCTCTCTCTTCTGGTCTTATCAAGGGCCACCATTAGTGTCGTCTTGTATCCACTTGGTCTTGTCAAGGGCCATCAGTCGTGTCGTCCCATATCAACTGGTCCTGTCAAGGGTCATCAGTTGTCTCCCATATCAACTGGTCTTGTCAAGGGTCGTCAGTCGTGTCGCCCCATATCAACTGGTCTTGTCAAGGGTCATCAGTCGTGTCGTCCCATATCAACTGGTCCTGTCAAGGGTCATCAGTTGTCTCCCATATCAACTGGTCTTGTCAAGGGTCGTCAGTCGTGTCGTTCCATATCATCTGGTCTTGTCAAGGGTCACCACTTGTGTCTCCCATATTAACTGGTCTTGTCAAGGGTCAACAGTTGTCTCCCATATCAACAATTCTCTGGGCTTGTCAAGAGTCAACTTATTTTATCTTATATTCTTGTTTTAAGGTAACAGTGTCTCCATTCATCAATTGTGGTCTTGTGAGTGCACTATTGTTCTGAATTCATTTGTGTGATTATGTCACAAGGCGTTGAGTGGTTGATAGTCATTTTGAGCTTATAGCAAGGCGAACTGACTTTAAATTTGCCGTCAAATTTATTTTCTTAGTCGTTAATGACATGACAAATTGCCCAATACTTTGTCTGGGTTTTAATTAGGCTTTTTTTTGTGCCTCATTCTATTTCTATGTAACTTCACAAGTCTAAACTAACTACGCATCTTTAGGCGATTTACCACTATTTTTATCTTAATGGCATTATGCACTCTCGCTTTATATACTTTCTTAAGAGTGAATGAATGTTTAAATGACACTCGACATATCTAGCAAGCTATTCAGAACAATGTTGAAAACTGTCTTGTTTCTGGTTAATGACTCTGGAAATATGATTACATAGACGCTACTGTAATATTTTGCCTTTATGCTGGTGAGAGGCTGTTGAGTCAATGCGCTGTATGACACCCACTCCTTTTTTAATACTTTTCCCTGATGCATCATGTGAAATCGATGAGGCTTTTCTTTTTCTTAGATATAGACTATGTAGGTAAAAAAAAATCATGGATTTTATGTATCGTATTTTACGGTCTTGAAGACGCTATTTTTCTCCCAAAATAAGTCTCGATAATTTACCCAGCGATTTGGAAGCCAAAGTACCGTTCATTTTTTTTCTTCAAAATTTAGCGATAATTTCTGAGTGCCTCGTCTAATTAACCCTTCAACGATGATAAATTGATAATAAAACTTCCGAACAGATTCAAGTTAAATATATTGGTGTATTTTAGGATATTGATTTCTTTGAGATAAAAAGAGAATGCCTCTTCAGTTTAGCTTCAGAACTGGTATTTCTTACTAGAAGGTTTGAATTATATTAAATCTGTGTCTTAATTTGTCATTTTTATTAAAGGAATTGGGATATTAATGCCCCAAGTCATCATGACTTGTGAATGTATTATCTGATTACCTTCGGAATTATGAACTTATGTACACTCTGCTGCATTATATCAGTGGAGTGCAGTGATGTACTGGGGATTGAGGTTATGCAATATGAATATACTTTCCTCGAATCATGCACTGACCGAAATCCATGAAGTTGTCCAATGAATCAGTCGCGCCAGCTCCACGAATACGAAAGATTAAGGCTTCGCTAGCCTTAGCCACGCCATCTGCTGATGTTTATGGATCATTACGAGTAGACACTGTCACATACATCTTGGCTATGTTAGGTTCTGAAGTGATTTTTTTCTTCCTCGTGAACGAGAAGACACTGAGTCCCAGCCGCTGACTAAATGGAAATATGATGCTGGCCCAAGTGTTTGCGATTTTCATGTAATTTGTTAATATAAACTTTGTTGGGGCTGCAAGCTTCACCAGGCCTCATAAAGATTGTTTTGGACTATAACTTGAAAAGAGAAGTGCGCGGAAATCTGTGCGATCACCCACTATTACAATTGTCTGTCCTCATTATCCAGTTACCACTGTGTTGTAACAACTTTCATGTATGTTATATTGTAAACATGGTCCTGCTATCAGCATAAACATAAAGTTTCGTGGGTTAGCGATCAGTATGAACAACACATCAAATGGGAACATCCTGTGGAAAGATTCCAGCTAAAGTCTAGAAAATGTGTAAAATTCCTTTGATTACACAGAGATGAAAATCATCCAGATCAACATCTCTCGTAATAAAAAATCTATCTTCAGGTGATGCTGACTTGGCAGTTTTATTTTTCTTCTGAGAGTGAAAGGAGTGAAAAAACTCGAGTCTGCTCTACTGCCCACACTTATTGTCATTAGTGCTAATAACACTGTTAGATGAAGCACCAGCAACAGAAAACAGGAGATGACGCCAGCAATTTATGCTTCTTTTTGCTTATTGTGTTCTGGTCACTACATATAATTATTTTAAATTGTAGACAGCTGGCTATTTTACCGCTCGTTCCTCACAAAATATTTCATATCATTCTGGCCTTAACCTATATTTTTGCACCACCTGAATCGTAATTCTCAAACATTTTAAGAATTAATTCAGGCAAATGAAAAATATTTCTGGTTTCAGAATTTATTACCAGTTTGCGATTTAAGCTAATCATAGCTGTAGGTAAACTTGTAGCTGGGCTAGTAGGCTGGGTCAAACTGCTGGGTTGGAACAAACTGATACGGCTGAGTATTGGACCTCATCTTGGTACTCAGCTAGAGATATGTAACCAGAGTTACCGTTCACAGTATAGGAAACCCTCTGTAGTCGATCTTCGGGAACCTGGATGAAATAGGATCAATGAGAAGCATAATTCCGAGCTTCGTCTTGGCCGAGGTCATTACCAGGGTTACTGCCCTGTTTTGTCGTTCCATATCCTCTTAGTCTTACATTCTCTGGTCTTATGTTTGAGTGTCAATTGCTCAAGTGTGGTCTATCTAAGGGAAAGGAGTGTATGAGGCCGTGGGAGCCGTAAATGAGCACACAGGTGCAAAATCAATGTTGCCGGTTCATATTAAACTTTAAGTTCCGAATGACCCGTTTTTCTTCCGATTTCCATGCCGTTGTTTTGAATTTCATTGCGCTAATCTTATTTTACTGTAATTTTCTCATGCATTTTTTATAGTAGTGTTAGTGTAAGAACCTGGGAGCTAATTAGTTATAATAAAGAGAGGAACAAAGCGAATTTCTGTCAAGAGAACTTCAAGTTTTTGTCCAGTTCATACCATTAACATCTAATGACACATATATGACCGCAATATTTACTGATTTTTCAATGCCCATATGTCTAAGACAAATTGTCTGAATTTCGGTGAGTAATTCTTTTTCCTCTATATTGAATCTTGAAATTGATTTTTAATATCGGCTTCCTATTAGTTTAAGTGAATAACTTGCTTCTATATTAAGTTGGTTGTATAATGGACTCTATATAGTTTGTTGTATAACTTGGCTTTACAATTATTTGTCTGTATAACATGGCTTCATATATTGGTTGTATAACTTGACTTCTAATATTTATTCGGTTGTTAATTGACTTCTAATAAGTTCGGTTGTATAACTTGTTCTGATTAGTTCGGTTGTATAATCTTATTCTATATTATTTGTTTATACTGTGATTCAATATTGATTGGTTGTATAATCTGGACTTCCATATTAGTTTGGTTGTATAACTTGACTTCTATATTAGTTTCGGTTGTATAACTTGGCTTCTACATTAGTTTCGGTTGTATAACTTGGCTTCTACATTAGTTTCGGTTGTATAACTTGGCTTCTATATTAGTTTCGGTTGTATAACTTGGCTTCTACATTAGTTTCGGTTGTATAGTCTGGCTTCCATAATTTTGACCTGTTGGGAACTAAGTAAGCAGATGATATGCTTCACATATATATATATAATATTCATATATATACATATATCATTTATAAAATATCGTATCTCCTGCCTAGTAAAATAGTTTAAAGAAAAGTTGCCATATGAAATTTTAAACCTAGAAAAGTGATGTCTATTTCAAAATAAGTATACACACATCACACAACCTTTATGTACAATAACAATCTTTTCGAATGAAATTACGTTAGTTTTTTGAGCACTGTAACCCATTTGCCTGACGTGCTGGAGCCCCTGGTAAAGGCAGACAAAAAGAGTATAGGTGTTAACTGTTAAAGCATGAAAAAAACACGAAATTATATATATTGCAACTGCTCAGACCTCATTGATCCCTGTGGCTGGAGAAGTTGGGATCTGCACGGATCCAAGAGCTGGCTCGTCTGGTGCCTATCTGGTCAACCGGGCTGTTGCTGCTTGTATCCCTCTGGCCCACATATCCATCACAGCCTGGTTGATCTGGCAACTGATAATATACTTGTCCAGTTTCCTCTTGAAAACTTCTACACTTTTCCCAACAGTGTTTCTGGTATGTTTTGGTAAGATGTCGAGTAGTCTGGGAGTCACTGGTGTTTATATAATGTTCTCTTATTGTGCCCACTGCACCCCTGCATTTCACTGGGTTTATTTTGCACTTCCTGCTATATCTCTCACTTCAGTATGTTGTTATGACAGTGTACAGATTCGGGACAAGTTCTTCCTTTTCAGGCATATACTATTATGTATCTCTCCTCCCCTCCACATGTTTTGAACTTTAAGGCATTTCGAGTAATTATATTCTTTGTTGGCTCTATGCTGGCCGTAAATGATCTGTTACATTGCTTTTATCGCCCTGTAATTTTTCAGTATCTTCTACCGAGGTAACTTTCATGGTTATTTTAGTGTCGTCTGCAAATTGAGTTTGTATAAACTCATCACAAAACTATAAATACAAAATTCCATAATTTATAGTTATGCAGCAAGGGGAGTTTTATTTAAGTTAATAATCTGCAAATAACGTAGTTTGTTGAATTAATAAGTATTCGTTGACGTATTCACTCTATCCTGGCAATGTTTATGCTAGTTTATAATAAGTGACAGCAAAAGAGTGTATGAAAGTCGTATATTACCTTGGTTGGGTTGCAAAATAGTGGCATTCATTAAAACTATTTTAGGAATCAAAATTATTCTTGATTTGTCGTGAATATGTGAAATGAAACCTTAAGACCCTTGTGAAATAGAGAGGTTTCAAATTAATCCAACCAATTTAATGTTCCATGCTGAACGATGGCCTTCATGCTGTTACAGACACCGATTCTTGATCATCACTGCAATCGTTTATACTGAATAATTTGTTAAATTTGCTTCACGTTCTCAGGTGAAATATGTTCTCATTGACTATTTTAGAATGAGGATATCCAAATAGGTTATCTATATGTGACAAATATTAATGGACAAAAGTAGAAATAATCAAAAGGAATCAATATAAGATTGTAATGCACGGCCTTTTTACTTAAATTTTATTACTGAAGAAAATAATGAGATAAACAGATACAGAATTTTATATTAGTGAATGGTTAAGTTAACCATAGACAGGTGCTGTCTGGTAGCTAGGGGAAGGCTGGTAGGCTGGGTACTGGGCCTCACCCTGGTATTCAACTTGAGCAATGTAGCCGGAGTCACCGTTCACAGTGTAGGAAACCCTCTGCAGTCGACCGTCGGGAAGCTGGACGTAATAGGATCCCTGAGTATCGTATCCATTACGAGCTTCGTCTTGACCGAAATCGTTACCAGAGTTGGCGTCCTTCACCAGCCAGTTGAATTTGTACTGAGGAACACCCTGGGTGGTAAAAAAAAGAGACTTACATGTATATCATTTTACCTTTTCAATCATTGCGTTAAACTGACTACTTCACATCAGCTTGAAAATAAATAAATGTTTGTGATTAAATTTTAATGTGCAAATATACATTTAATTCATAGTATAAAATTAAATGTAATTGCAGTAGTGTTATGGAGGTGCTATACACATGGCACATAAGGCACAAATTTGTTTGACATGTCAGAGAGCGTTTGTCATCGACCTATACTTGAGTAAGGAGCCACGAAGGCTTAGTAAGCAACAAAATGGCTGCAGATATATTTGGAAATATCTTTCTGAAATTAACCTTCATATATGATTTTAGAGAATGTTAAGTCAAGGAGGAGGCTAGCTAGCAGGTAGGTGAGGAAACAAATCAGCGAGACAGTTGTTGATGGATTATGAACAGATCCATGACCATCTGTCCAGTGAACGAATGGTAGCTGGTCAGTGACGGTGCCCTGGACGTGAGGTGGTGGAACAGAGAAATACCGCGATATTGATATCAAATATGCAGAGAAAAGATGCAAAGATAAGTGGCAAGTGAAAGGTGTTGGAGTTTAATTCGATATTTAAACAGCATTTTGCAATTAATTTCAGTGCTTAGCCTTAAATACTACGGAATCCTTGGTTTAATTGTTCAGTGACGATTTTTAATGGAAAGTGAAATGCCTTTTGAAAATTTGCTGTAATTTTTCTTTAAGATTTGTTTGTCTTGCATATACACGCGCCCAGAGTTTGCCACAGTAGATGTGGATGTAAACAAAAATATTGTTTAACAAAAATTGAACAAAGTATGAGAAAGAGTCTATTTGCCATTAGGATAATATGAGGACTTACTGAAGGTACTGGAGCACTGTAGGAGGGACGCGGGGCGTTGTAGGAGGGACGCGGGGCATTGTAAGAAGGGCGTAGTTCAGCTAATGCGACAACCACAAGGGCGGCCAGGAGGAAGATCTATTGAACACGATATTGCAAGTATATGAGTTACAAATATGGTTACTTGTTTTATAACAATATTATTCTTAAAGCTATATATATCATTAATGATAGTTTTAATTTACCTTGAGAGCCATGATGAGCTGTGGGAGAAGAGTGAGACTGATGTGCAGTGATACACACTCGGGGTTTATATAGCAGAGGCTCCTCAGATGTCATGAAGACTGACACAAGAGGGAAAACCTGAGAGAGACACCTTGACACTGGCAGCAGTTACCACTGGACCTTCACACCTTCATACCTTCTCCAGGAAGCGCATCACTACGTAATAAGCTTCATCACTCACCAGTAACCATGATCGTCTTGCTTTAATATATAAGTGATGATCCTCAAGAATCTTGTCATGTTAAGATATCGGGTATCTGTAGTATTATCATTATGGGTCATGATGTATTTTAAACTCTGACTTAAGAAATCGTAATGACAAGGGCTGGAGTTTTGAGACTCTATGACCGCGGGTTCAATCCCGGCCGGGGGTATGGTTTTAAACTCTCGGTGTATAAACATTTAGACATTCGTAAATCCTTTAGGTATATACAGAAATTAATATCAATAATGTTAGATGGCTATTTAAACATTTTGAAGTCGAATTATTGTTTTGAAAAAATGAACTTGACTCTATGTATTACTATATATCACTCTTAGCTAGAGTCGTTCCCTTGAGCGCTTCTACCTTAACTTCCTATTTATTTCTGCAACATTGCAAGCTCCTGATGTGTTAATTGGGACACGAAAGACCTAGAGCTATCTTTCAACTCGCCCCATTGTTTTGCATCGTGTATCACTCGTTCGTGATTTTTACACTCTCTCTCTTTCTCTCTCTCTCTCTCTCTCTCTCTCTCTCTCTCTCTCTCTCTCTCTCTCTCTCTCTCTCTCTCTCTCTCTCTCTCTCTCTCTCTCTCTCCCTCTCTCTCTCCCTCTCTATATATATATATATTATATATCGTGCCGAATAGGTAAAACTGGTAAATTTGCAAGAGCTCTTTTAAAATTAAGTCATTTCTAAGATTTTCTCTTGTACGTTTAAAGATATATATTTTTTATTTATGTTAATGTAATAATTAATAATTTTGTACCAAAAGAAAGTTAGATAACTTACCTGACCTTATTATAACAAGCGCAATTTAATTGAGCCAAATTCAACTAAATATATTTTACACAAGTTTACAATAATTTAATAGTAAACAAAACACAATGAAATATATTATTTTCGTTAGGTACAGAATCATTTTTGCGAAGTTATTACATGCACAAATTTTCGCTTGCCTTATTCGGCAAGAAGAGAGTTCCTATTTAAGCCACCTATTCGGCACAACATTATATACATATATATATACATATGCGCTCTGAGTATACTTCTTATTTGTAAGATATACAAATTGTTTTAGATATTCAAAATTTACCGTGTTGTTGTCCCGTGTCCTCTGCTCTTCTCGAAGGCTGTCAGCCGTGTCGTCCTGTTGTCGAGAACTGTCAGCCGTGTCGTCCTGTTGTTGAGAACTGTCAGTTGCGTCTTCCTGTTGTCGAGAACTGTCAATTGTGTCGTCCTGTTGTCGAGAACTGTCAGTTGTGTCGCCCTGTTGTCGAGAGTTGTCAGCTGTGTCGTTCTGTTGTCGAGAGCTGTCAACCGTGTCGTCCTGTTGTCGAGAGCTGTCTGTTGTGTCGTCCTTTTGTCGAGAGTTGTCAGTTATGTCGTCCTTTTGTCGAGAACTGTCAGTTGTGTCGTCCTGTTGTCGAGAGCTGTTAGTTGTGTCGCCCTGTTTTCGAGAGCTGTCAGTTGTGTCGCCCTGTTGTCGAGAACTGTCAGTTGTGTCGTCCTGTTGTCGAGAGCTGTCAGCTATGTCGTCCTGTTGTAGAGGGCTATCAGTCGCCTATTCTCTGATCTTGTGAAGAGCTATCAATTATATCACTCCATATTCTGTGGTGTTGTAATGGCACGTGGTCATAGTCATGAACGTTCATGAGACCGTGTAAGCTGGATAGGAGAACAAGGTCGAGAACAATGTTGTAAAGTCACTTATTTACTTTTTAACCCAATAAGTGGCGAATGACTACAATTTCCTTACTTCGTTTTTGCTGTAATGTTAATTTAGACTGAAGCCCAATTTTTGTTTTATTCTCTAGTGCTGCAATCTATTTCTTACTATAGTTTTTCGATTAAATACCTTCATGAACTTCTGGTAACACTATACATGTGTAACACTATAGATATACAACATTTTAAGAAGGGGATCATAATGCTTTTAACACGCTCTTAATCGAAGAAATTGGGTGTTCAATTCCGTTTTTTTTTTTTTTGGATAAGATCTAAGTGCTTTCCGTTCCTCAAGCATTGTTTGACCCTTATGAGCACAGATTTACCAAAGAGTGAAATACTACTACTACTGCTACTACTACTATTACTACTGCTACTACTACTACTGCTACTACTACTACTGCTACTACTGCTACTACTACTACTGCTACTACTGCTACTACTACTACTACTGCTACTACTACTACTACTGCTACTACTACTACTGCTACTACTACTACTACTGCTACTACTACTACTGCTACTGCTACTACTGCTACTACTACTACTGCTACTACTACTACTACTACTACTAATACTACTACTAATACTAATACTACTACTACTAAAAAAAACAAATGTTATTAATGTCAGAACAAATTATATCTAAATCACAATATATCTAGGCATGTCTGAGTACAAATCCGTCATTTAGTTATATTCAATGTATGGCTGTATAACCTGCGTTGCTTGGAACGTGACATGTTAGATGACAAGTTAGTTATGAGCACAAGATATGCTGCAGATTTATTATGTAATGTTATGCTGCAGATTTATTATGTGATGTTATACCAGATTTATAATGTGATGTTATGCTGCAGATTTATTATATGATGTGATGCTGGAAGTATATTATGCGTATGAATTACTTGAACTGAGAAAATAATTTTCCTTGAGTGAATTTCTCCGAGGAAGAGCTGTGTACTGTTTGCTATAAAAGAAATACAATATTGATTGGGTTATACCTGGAACTGTATTATAGTAGTTTACGAGCAATAAATTGATGTAACAGTGCCCAAGAACCCAGGTAAATAAAATGGCAGTCACTTGTAAGTCATGAGATGGGGCCAGAAGGGGAAGACTCGGTCCAGGACAAACACAGTTAAATGATTATACACTTGAAGGTGCACTGAAGGTGTAAATTAAATGATGACAAAAATAGTCAGTGACAATACAGGAAAGTGTATGCCTTAGGAAAAAAACAAAACAAGAAAACTCATAAAGAATATTAAGACGACGGGTGAATAGGTTTGGGGTTGTTAAGACAATATTCTTTAAGAGGCGATAAAGTGACGACTCGGCATAATTTCTCATCACTAGTTAGAAGGTAATAGACAACACAAAGCAATTGGACAGAAAAGAATATATGAAGGAAAAATTGACACTGAAAACAACGTACCAAATGCATAATAACTCACAATGGCGTGAATGAAAAAACTAATGATTAAATATAACAATTAATCTTCAAATGCAAAAGTAAACTGAATAACATTGACAGTGAATTTTAGATTTTCAAATGTATGAACAACATTCAGAAATCTGAACAAAGCAAACGTATGAATAGAAGAGCATATCCACACACCTGCAAAAATCCTCCTAGGCAGGTCTTTCTCAAACCCTCCACTTTCCATACATAATTTTCTGAAGCCGAATTTTAAAGTTAATCAGGATGCTTGCATTCACACTGTTAAAAATATTTAGTTAACACGTTCACCATAGTACAACCTAATGAAACATTCAAAGTATTGCCATCAGAATCTTGCGCTAATTGAGATGGAAAATTTACTAAGACTGCACAGACGGGATCTCACAACATTGTGTATGAGACAGATCTCACTAAGTCTGTTTTGCTAAGTATCTTTATTTATTGATTCTTGCAGTTAGCACCTAATTTGACCAAATAATTATTGGGCACAATATATATAGGCTTGATTACACACATCTGGCCACATTTCTGTTTTCTTTTATATAATTTATCTTATGTAATACAGACTGATTATAGATATTATATTTTCATATCGAAATATTTGGGAAAATTGAAAAATATTTGTAGATGCAAAAGTTTATTATTAGTGTATATTAAATTAACCATAGACAGGGGCGGGCTGGTAGCTGGGGGTGGGCTTGTAGCTAGGCTGGTAGGCTGGGTACTGGGCTTCACCCTGGTATTCAACTTGAGCAATGTAGCCGGAGTCACCGTTCACAGTGTAGGAAACCCTCTGCAGTCGACCGTCGGGAAGCTGGACGTAATAGGATCCCTGAGTATCGTATCCATTACGAGCTTCGTCTTGACCGAAATCGTTACCAGAGTTGGCATCCTTCACCAGCCAGTTAAACTTGTATTGAGGAACACCCTAGGTGGTAATATATATATATATATATATATATATATATATATATATATATATATATATATATATATATATATATATATATATATATATATATATATATATAATTATATATATATATATATAATTGTAATAGTTTTATGGTTCTTGATGTTGAATTAAATGTTTTATCTGGATTTGAAAATTATAAAAAATTACTTGAACCTAGAATATACAATTTAGTACTTTTTACAAACAAATACAAAGTAGGAGAACACGTCTAGAAATATTCTTCTTTGTTTGTATAATATGAGTACTTACTGAAGGTGCTGGAGCACTATAGGAGGGGCGAGGAGCGTTGTTGGAAGGAGGTGGAGGGTTGTACGAGGGACGAAGCTCGGCTGAGGCGACACCCAGAAGGGCAGCCAGGAGAAATACCTGCAAGCACAAAATTATATAATGATTCACAGTGAAACACTACATATATTTTCATTATATTTACGGACAGTATGTTCCATAAAACTGGGTAAATCACCAAATGCTTTTGTGACAATTCACCTTGAAAGCCATGTTCAGCTGTGAGGGAGGAGCGAGACTGATGTGCAGTGATACACACGCATGGTTTATATAGCAGAGACTAATCAGATCTTGTCATGAAGACTGACACAAGAGG